GGGTTGAGCTTCACAATACTGTGACTGCTGTCACTGAGCGTGAATCAATCTTTATGGAACAAGTTAATAACTTGGATACTAAATTGCATGCCAAAAACGAGAAGGCTAATGCTGCCAAGGATAAGAGGGTAAAAATGGAAGAGAGACTCAAGAGAGTCATGGAGCAGAACCGATTTCACTCAACCACCAACGTTTATCTTGATGCCAAAATCAGTGCAATGAAGATTGAAAATGAAGAGCTCGAAGCCCAAATTGATAAGCTCTGAGCAAAACTCCAGGACCAAGAATATTCTATTGTCTTCGAGAAAACCTACACCATGTATTAGATGAAGAGGAAGACTTTGGAGGAAGCCAAAGAAGGCATTGCCAAGGCTCGGGAATTGGAGTTAACCGCTCGTGAGAACCCTCTTGCTCGGCCCACTACGTCCAACTCCTCGAATACTAAGTCTGAGTATTCGGGAACCGAAAGGGAGACCGAAGAAGATGGAGGCCCCGCACCGGCAGTGGAACAACCTTCTTCCACTATAGCAAATAAAGACTTTTCTCTCACTTTGGGTTCTGGCAGCAAAGAATTATGTAAAAAATTATCATTTGTAATTATGCCCAACTTTTATTAAATTTTGGTGCTTTAATTAATAAAGGAAACTTTTGCTCAAGTGTTGTGCAAAATGACCCTTTCTATGTTTAATTGATAAAGCTTCGAGAAAATCTTTGGATATGATATCTTCCCTTTACTATGTGGGTTTAATAAGAGAGGGACCTTATGTTTACAGTGCTCCTGAAGAGGACGTCTCTTGTTCATTCTGGCACAAGCATTTGAAGTTTTTGTTAACTTTCAAATGATAAAATTAATTAACTTATCATTTGGACTAGAAATAAGATGAGAATAAAAGGACTTTGATTTGTTCCATCTATCATTAAAATTGCATTTAAATAAACACTCATTTACTTAAGTAAATAAAGCTACCAATACATGTGTCTAACTTGTACAACTTATTTCTACGGAACTGATCATGCAGTCCCCGATCATGATAAGGCATTAATCCCGGTTCTAGTAGTCCCGATTCTCGTGGCACTCTTGGTGCTCTATCTTTAAAAGTACATTTACATAAACACTCATTTGCTTAAGTAAATAAAGTTTCCAATACATGTGGCTAACTTGTACAACTTATTTCTACGGAGCTGATCATGCAACTCCCCAATCCTGATAAGACATTGATCCCCGCTCTAACAGTCTCCGGTTCTCGTGGCACTCTTGGTGTCGTATCATGTATTACCCCTCCCCCCCCCAAGTGTTCGAATGCTAAGTAGAAGAGTTTGAACACTGTAAGTCTTACGTTCACCAAAGCCCTTTCCTTCATTTTATACTTTTATGTTGCTGCTTCATCGGTGGAGACAACTTGTGAACAGTTAAATAATCTATTTTGGGAGGCGAGACTTTCCATCAAGCCAAAGATTATTTAACCATCCATAAGTTTTTTGCCACACGAATTTTAGTGCCTTGATATTAAAGGTCTTGCCTTTGCCAATGATCATCCCTTCGTACTGTGCTTTACGTTGTTGCCTCATTAAAAATCTTGCCAGAAAAACTCAATTGGGACAAAAACTGATTGAAGGAAAAAAGAGTGCAGCACATACTTTCAGTACTAGCAGGAATCTTTAGCAATAGTAGCTTTTGAGGTGAATCACGTTCCAATTGCTTGGCAGTCTGACTCCATCTTGATTTTTCAATTCATATGATCCTTTACCGGTGATAGCTGAAACCCGATAAGGTCCTTCCCACATTGGTATCAGCTTCCCGGTGTTAACTTCCCAAGTTCTTTGAGTAACCTTCCTGAGAACAAAATCTCCAACTTTGAACTAATAGAGATTTGCCCTACGATTGTAATACCTTTCCAACCTTTGCTTTTGGCCCACCATCCTCACGTATGTCAGATCTTGGTGCACCTCGAGTAAGTATAACTTAACCAGCAACGCTTTATTGTTTGCTTCTTCGTTTTCCTAGGAAAACCTTAAGCTCGGTTACCCTACCTCCACCGGTATCAAAGCCTTCGAGTCATATACGAGCGAAAAGGGTGTTTCACCCGTGCTCGACTTTGTCGTCCGATATGCTCACATCACACCTGATAGCTCATCTAGCCACTTGCCCTTTGCATCTTCTAACTTCTTTTTTAAATTTTGGATAATTACCTTATTGGTTGACTCTGCATGTCCATTAGCATTCGGGTGGTATGGTGAAGAAGTAATTCGCTTGATCTTTAAACCTTCCAAAACTTTTGTTACTTTAGAACCCACAAAATTTGGCCTGTTGTCACAAGCAATCTCCTTCGGTATTTCGAATCGACAAATTATGTGGTCCCATATAAAATCAACCACTTTGCGTTCTCCGATATCTTGGTAAGCACTTGCTTTAATCCATTTAGTGAAATAATCAGTTAAAACTAGAAGGTATCTTACCTTCCCGAGTCTAGGTGGTAAGGGACCAACTATGTCCATCTCCATTTTCATGAATGGCCATGGGGACTCCACCGAATACAGAAGTTCTGTCGGTTGATACATTAACTGTGCATAGCATTGACATTTGTCGCACTTTGCAAGAATGCCTTGGCGTCCTATTCCATCTGGGGTCAATGATAGCCAACCTTGACTAACTTGAGAACCCACGAGTCTGCACCGGAGTGATTTCCACTGACCCCTTCGAGGCCTCTAGGCACCGAGCCAATGGTCCTTGGAATCATCTCATGTATAATTGTCCATCAACAAGTCAGTAGCGGGCCACTTTGGTCCCTAGTGCCCGATATGCTTTTGGGTTTTTGGGTAATTTACCATGTTTGAGATATTGAATGAACTCGTTCCTCTAGTCCAGAATTTAGTTGGTTGAATTTACTTCACAGTAGCCATCCACATCCAATACCAAATGAAGCAATTGAACAACCGTACCAGAATTAGATCCCTTCATCTCTGTGGATGAACCCAAATTAGCCAGTGCGTCTACCTTCACATATTCCTCCCTCAGAATGTGGACGATTAACCATTCTCTAAATCGTGCAAGTAACGGTTGAACCTTGTTCAGGTATTGTTGCATGCACTCCTCCTTTGTATCGAAGATTCCATACACTTGATTTACCACCAGCTTGGAGTCGCACTTTATCTCGATGACCTCGCAGCCTAGTCCCGAGCTAGTTCAAATCCTGCAACCAGAGCCTCATACTTGGCCTCATTGTTTGTTAACGGTACAGTTCTAATGGCTTATTTTAAAGTTTCACCCGAAGGGGTGATTAAAACTACTCCGAGACCAGACCCTTTTACATTGGAGGCTCCATCTATAAACAAGGTCCAAACTCCTGATGTCATTCCCGACACCAGCACTACTTTCTTAGCAGCTAGAGGCATTAATCCTGGACTAAAATCGGCCACGAAGTCGGCCAAAACTTGTGACTTAACTGCTGTCCTGTCTTTATACTCAATGTCGAACTCGCTAACTTTGATTGCCCATTTAGCCAAACGACCTGACAACTCGGGCGTAAGAAGTACCATCCTTAAGGGAAAGGCTGTCACCACGAGTATTGGGTGACATTAAAAATAAGGCCTAATCTTTCGAGAGGAACCTACAAGAGCTAAGCCCAGCTTTTCGGGATGCGGATAACGTGTCTTCGTTCCTGATAATATTTGACTAACGTAATAAATAGGAAGTTGCATACCTTCTTCTTCCCGGACCAAAACGATACCGCTACTTCGAAAATCGCTAGGTAAATTAGCAATTGCTCACCTTCTCTCGATTTTGATAGCAACGGGGGGCTGGATAGGTATATTTTTAGGTCCTTCATTACATGTTGGCATTTTGGAGTCCACGTGAAGTCGTTCTTATTTTTCAAAAGTGAAAAGAAGTGGTGGAACTTCTTCGAGAGCCTTGATATAAACCTGCTAAGGGCTGCCAACCTGCCGGTCAACCTCTGTACTTTTTCTACACTTGTTAGCTGGTCCGGGATATACTCAATGGCTTTGATTTTTGTCGAGGTTTACTTATATCCCTCTTTATGAGACCAGAAACCCCAAGAATTTACCGGAGCCTACCCCGAGGCACAATTTTTTTGGGTTGAGCTTCTTGTTATACTTTCTCATAATGTTGAACATCTCTTGGAGGTGTTTCAGATGATCTCCATCTTTCAGAGACTTAACTAACATGTCATCAATATATACTTTCATTTTCTTACCTATATGTTTTTTGAATATTTTATTAACGAGCCACTAATAAGTGGCTCCGGTGTTTTTAAGCCCAAAAGGCATCACATTATAGCAATATGTGCCAAAGTTTGTGATGAAAGAAGTATTTTCTTGGTCTTCTGGGTTCATCCTCATTTGATTATACCCGGAGTAAGCATCAAGAAAACTTATTAACTCGAACCCGGCCGTGGCATCGATCAATTGATCAATGTTGGTCAACGGGAAAGAGTCTTTGGGGCACGCCTTATTCAAATCCTTATAGTCTACACACATCCTAAATTTATTATTCTTTTAGGTGCTACTATTACATTAGCTAGCTAGTCTGGATACTTTACCTCTTGGATTAAACTGATGTTAAGTAATCGAGTTACCTCTTCACTAACAAGGTTGTTTCTAACATCTGCTATTAGTCATTTTTGCCTCACCAGAGGAAAGTTTGGATCCAGACTTAGTTTGTGGACCACCACCTCCAATGAAATACCTGTCATATCCGAATGCGACCAAGCAAAGCAATCTACGTTAGATTTAAGAAAATCTGTAAGTTTTAACCTAAGTTTGGGACTTAGTCCAGTTCCTAAATGGAATTTCCTCTCCAAAAACTCTTCGAACAAAGCCACTTGCTCGACGCTTCTCCGGTTGACTTAGTTGCATCCGTCTCCTATGGTACCTGAAAAGACCTCGGTACCTGATAGAATTCTGATGACCCCTCGCCTTTATCATCTTCAATTGGAAAGGGACAAGGCGATGGTTCCTGTAATTGCTATTTGTTATTGCTGCTAGAAACGGTTAATGCGCTCATCTCTCCTGCCCACCGGTTGATCTCCTTTCATTTGTTTGATCCCATATGGTGTCGAAAACTTCAACAATTGATGATAGGTCAAGGGTACAACCTTCATCTCGTGTATCCATTGCCTCTCGAGGATTACATTGTAACCCATATCGTCATCTACCACTTCGAAAAAGGTAGTCTTTGTTACACCTTCAATGTGAGTGGGTAGCAAAATTTCTCCTCGAGTCGTTACACTTGCCAGGTCGAAGCCAGCTAGGAGCTTTGTCGCCGGAATTACGTTTCCGATTAACATCGCTTGCTCCAGGACTCTCCATTGTACGATGTTGGCCGAACTCCCTGGATCAACCAAAACACGTTTAATTTTGAATACTATAACATTAAGAGAGATTACCACAGCGTCACTATGCGGTAGAAGGAGTCTATTAGCATCCTCCTCAGTGAAGGTGATCTTGTCTTTTGAGACCTCTCAGATCCTCTTGCCATGCGCCACTGATATCTTCGTCTTCTTTGCAGCCGAAAATGTCACACCATTGATTTTGTTTCCTTCGAAGATCATATTAATTGTCATCCGGGGTGACCCTGCTGCCGATTTCGACTGTTCTGCATTATCCCGGTTTCTTCCACAGTTGTTCTTGGCGTGGTTGCTTAAGAATTCTCGGAGATGACCATTCTTCAGCAATGTTGCCACCTCTTCTCTAAGGTGTCGACAGTCCCCCGTCCTATGGCCGTGAGTTCCATGGAATTCACACCATAGATTAGGGTCTCTTTTGCTAGGATCCGACTGGATTGGATTTGGGAACCTAGCTTCTTTAATGCTCCTCATTACTGACACTAGTTCTACCAAGATGATAGTAAAATTGTAATCAGATAACCTGGGATATGTGGGATCTTGGGATCCCGGTGCCTCTTTCTCCTGCAATGACCTATTACTCTGACTGCGATCCGCCCTTCTATCGGAAGCAAACCTATCTGACGATTTGAATCCTTTTATTACCATGCCCATCAACTTTCACGTAAGGTTGGAAATGACCTTTAGAGGTTATCTAGTCCATGTCAATATCGCTTTTGAACTTATCCTGGTTCCGATCACGATTTTTTCCTTTGGATGATGTCGAGGAGCCAAGTTAATCATCCTCAATCCTTATTTTTGACTCGTGGCGATTGTGAACATCTGCTCATATGGTTGCCTGAAACTTGAGCAGCTTCCCCTTGAATTTTGGGGAGCCATCGGAACTCAGTGGGTTGAGACCCTTCGTGAATGCCTCTGCTGCCCACTCCTCTAGAACCATTGTTAGCAACATCCTTTCCTTCTAGAAGCAGATTATGAATTCCCACAACAGCTTAAATTCTCTTTGCAAAATTTTGAATATATCTGCTTTTGTGGCCTGGACCTTTTTTGCACCAGCATGAGCTTTGTTGAGCTAATCTGCAAGCATTTCAAAAGAATTGATTGAATGCTCGGGTAAGAGAGAATACCATTTCAAATCACCCCTCGTGAGGGTCTCGCCGAACGTTATCAACAAAACCTACTCGATCTCATGCTGAGCCAAGTCGTTCCTTTTTAGTGTCATGGTGTAGGTCGTGATGTGCTCCTGTGGGCATGGCCTCCCATCGTATTTTGGTATATCCAGCATCTTGAACCTCTTTGGGATCAACTCTGGTGCCACACTTGGTTTGAACGGCAACTGCTTGTAATTATTTTTTAATTTGGGTCCTTTAACACCGGCGGCACACTCGGAATCTGATCCATCCGAGCATGAAATTCCTTATCCGTTCATTCATTCTTCTCTCTCGTGAATCTTATGAGCTCAGTTTTGAAAGGATCATTCAAGTTGTTGTTCCCAGATCTACTACTAGTCTCTCCAACTTCATCGAACCAGACCTCATCTTTTGGAGTGTCGTTATCAATCTTTTGCGCCGTCTGATTTGGGAGAGCGTTGGGAGGAACCAGAGCCCTTCCATTATCGTTATTAGAAGCACCTGAAAATGCTTGCTTTAATTCTGTCATCACACTATCTTGCCTCGAGATGTGGTCCATGATTGCTTTTTGTTGTTCCCTTATGATTTTAACCATTTCAACAATGCGTTCGTCATTTGCATCATCAGGCGTTGGGCCCCACACATACTGAGGATATTGTCCTTTATGAACTAGGGCTGTTTCATCCCCTTCGTTGTGAGTTTCGCTGATAGAATCATCGCGCTAGGACACTTCTTCCCGTTCATCGTGTTCTCCAACGTTGTGAACGTTGTCAACATTATTAGCGGCTATATCTGACTTTTACTAAGGAAAAAGTAAAAATTTGTTAGTAACAAATGAATGGATCAAAGCAATTATGCAGCTGTCTATGTCCCATGGTAGGCGCCAAATTGTTCACCCGCAAAACAGTACAGTTGAATTTATAGTGTAGTTTATAGACAAGCAAATCGATTTGACCCAAAAACGGTAAGTAAATGGAGACAGATATAAGATTATCGGATGAAATTAAAGATAACAAGCCTGATCTAAAAACTTTAGCCTTTCCGGTGGCAAGAGTGTATGCAATGCTTAAGTGTTGAAATTTAGTGTCATGGAGTATAACTTTTTGAGTACAGAATATTTGTCCTACAATGGATGTTAATCTTCCTATTTATAGCCTTACTTAGGAAGACAAGATCCGAAAATCAAGCTCCTCTTGAATAAGAATAAAATCGCCATTGATGGGTGCATAACGGTTGGCTTTGAATGCTGATATTCTCCGTAACGGCTGCTCATTAAATGCTATCCGATATCAAAACCTTCGAATCTTAATTGTTAGTTCATATTTCCTTCGGGATTCTCCCTGCACCGCTCACACACCTGCACCTCGGTGGCAGCTATGTGTTGGTTCACTTTTCAACCTTTACCCACACATTTTAAATGACTATAGGTACATGCTCCACCAGTTGCATGACCCACTACTGTCACACACGTACAGGGAGTAAAATATATAGCAGTGGAATAACTAGCTCATTTTGGTTATGAACTAACGGTCAGAAGCAGCATCACCCTTTTTTTTTATCAATGTCCTCCTTTTGTCATGGATCTCCTCTCAGAAGATCGTGCATGATGTACTAGGCTCAGCTTAGCAGCATAACTACCATACTTTGATAGGCCAAACTGGTTCTTTTTGTCATATTATACAGGATGTCTCTCGATAAGATCCTACTAATATTTCTGATAGTATTAGCCATGGGTTTTGTGATTCTAATGGAGCACATATAGGTGCCTCTATGCACCAGCTCCCTGTACTTGTTTAGGAGTTATAAAATATAATACTATAACCTTTCATGATAAAGAGAAAAAAAATACCAATTTTGTCATTATAGATAAATATATTTTTTCATAAAAAGTAGTAACAAAGATAATGATTTATCAATTATTTTAAAGTAACAAACTAACAATATAACTGGTAAATACAATACTACATTCAATCATAATCATAGATTTATTTGTAAAATTAAATATCTTTCTTATTAGTTGATAGGGACTTTAAGAACCAAAAAGCAGTCATGAACTATTTTGTCTTTATAGATATGCACGTCTGCTCATAAGAAATGGAGTAACGAAGATCAATGACTTAATAATCACTGAAAATTAACAATAAAACTAATAAACAAATTCAATCATAAGCATAGAATAATTTTTAAAATCAATCTCGCTTTTGTCTTTGTAGATACGCTTTTCAAAAGAAATCAAAGACTTACCAATTATTTAAAAGTGACAAAATATTTACGAAATTCGATCATATTTGTTGATTAGTTTTTAAAATTAAATCTCATAATTATCTTTATATATATATATATATATATATATATATATATATATATATATATATATATATATATATATATATATATATANATTCAAGATCAAGCTCAAAGGCCCTTGAATTTATTTACAATTGGAAAGAAGAATCAGAGGATCCATAGAGATTGTAACACTCAAATATTCGAAATAAAATACTACGATTGTTGCGATATTTTCGGTCTTGATTTTATTTTCTCGACGCAAATTTATTTTCTACAGACGTGTACCCTATATATTACATTTATTTTAAAAGAATTTCGTTTTATTCAAATCTAGCTACAGTGTTTCAAAGAACTATACTTATAGGATTTTAAATGTGAAATGTATTATAGTTATATGGAGTATTTATTTTTTTTGCTAGAGGCGAAGTGGTATTTAAACAATTAGAAAAAATAACAAAAGTTCCTAACATGATTGCATATGATCATTAACCCAATTAAGTATATATATATATATATATATATATATATATATATATATATATATAGATAGATAGATAGATAGATATATAATAAATTAATAATTTGCCAATAGTATAAAAGTAATAACCTAAAGTAAACAAAATACTAAATTCGATCATAATCATTAGATTAATTTGTAAAATCAAATTTAAATTTTGTCTTAGATAAATTTGTTCGTTCATAATAATAATGATCAGTGACTAATTAATTATTTAAATTAATAACATAACTAGTGAATTAAATAATGTGGTACTACTCAATACGATATTTTAGCTAATAATATTTGCACGAAGGATTATCTAAATGAAATTCAATGGTATAGTACAACCTTTAGCAGAAGTTTTCACTTTTCATTATTTAATATACCGAGTTCCACACTGTCATATTGTAAAGCTTCTTGAGCACGACATTTGATATTCAAGTCCATTTCAAGACAATTAAACAAAGAGCCACTCTCAGCGCTACCAAAAAAAAGAAAAAAAGAATTTGCACATTGTTAAAAGAATTTCCATTAAAACTACACCTATATTAATTAATCAGTTATGTTTAAATTTGAATCATTTTATTTCAATAATACGACGAATTTGTTAGTTTAGTCAAACTAACTTTTCCCCCCTCAAATTGGTGCTTGCATTTGCGAGACCTGCAGCACCAGCCTAAAAACCAGCAATCACTGAACTGTCTGAACCACCATGAAAAGTGTCCGAGACTCACCCTATCTCCCGGGACTCTACACCAGATATCCACATAAGTCTAAAAATATCATATGAACTCTCTCGCAAGCTTCAAACACCAAAATAATATCCCGAACCACGAGTCGGACTAAAATGCATAGATATCACATTGAAACTCAAGAACCTCTAAAATCACAACTAAGTGTCTGATTCCTACAAAACCAACTCGGAATGACACTAAACTTTGCACATAAGTTTTAAATGGCAAAACAGACCTATTCCAATTTCCTAAACCAAAATCCGAACCCGATAGCCATGAAGTCAACCTATGTTAACTTAGAAATTTCTAAACCTTCAAATTGCCAACTTTTAATTTGAAGAAAAGAGCCAAATCATCCTAGGAACCTCCAAATCCAATTTCGGGCATAAGCCTAAGTACAAAATCACCATACGAACCTATTTGAACAATCAAAACATCGTCCTAGGGTCGTTTTTCACAAAAGTCAAAACCTCAGTCAACATTTCCAACTAAGCTTCCAAACTAAGAACCAAATATTCCAAGTCAATCCAAAATCTCCCCAGAACCATACCAATAATCCCTGCACGTCACATAAGCACAAATACACATATGAAAAGTGTAACGACCCGGCCGGTCGTTTCATGAGTTACCGCTCCGTATCCCCCATTTTTGCTTCTTTATGCTTTGTTCATCTGTGCTATATGGTACCAGGTTGGTTGGTTCGAATTCGGAATAGTTTCGGAAAGGTTTGAGACACTTAGTCTCTTTTGGGTAAGCTTAAGTTGGAAAAGTCAACCGGATGTTGACTAATGCGAAATAGGTCTCGGATGTGAATCTCGATGGTTCGAATAGCTTTGTGAGGCGATTTGGGACTTAGGAGCATGATCGTAATGTGTTTTGGAGGTCTGGGCTAGATTTAGGTTTGAATTGGCGAAATTGGAAATTTTGGCATTTTCCGGTTGGTAACGGAGATTTTGATATAGGGGTCGGAATGGAATTTCGGAAGTTGGAGTAGGT